TATATGGGAAAGGAAGTGGTTTCTATCATACTTGTAAAATTCCGGGACGGCCCGGGCCTGAGGAAAATTTCAAGGCCCGGTAGAAAAAATTTCGTCATTTTGAACCGAATTTTGAGCTCTCAATACAATTTTCTATTTTTTTTGTGCTTCTTGGATGGTTTGTCTGTTTGATCAAAAAATATCAAAAAAAAACTCGAAAAAATTTTTTTGATCGAAAAAAATCACATAAGGGTCCCCCCTTATCACATAAGGGTCCCCCCTAACTTGTGGAATGACAGGCCCGCCGGGCCGGGCTGGGCCTCCAAAATTCGGGGAAAAGCCCGGCCCGGCCCGTTACAAGTAATGTATGGTGACAAGGCTCGAAGGACTTGGAAGTGTCATCAGGTGACGTCGTCTGCCAGGAACAATAGAAGCCAGAGAAATCGTGAATTGTGAACTTCAAAATTTTTATTTTTTGGAAGCGCCTAACAATGACAATTGTAATCCAGGACCACGGATTTTTAGTTACGGTACTTCTGGGGGAATCGGCGACCTACCGGCCGCGGCCCTGATTCCGACAGCTTTGGAAATGACTCATAGGAAAGACCTCTAATAAAACGGCACCATCGTAGTTCTTCTCTTTGAGCTCAATTATCTCAGATTCTATAATAGCTATCAAAAATGGGTCAACTGATGAAATGTTCATCATTTTATCTTCAACATTTTATCACTTGACAGATTTTTGATTGCTATTACAGGAGCCGAGATAATTGAGCTCAAAGTGGAGAGCTAAGCGATCGACAGAAAAGGCTAGAGGTGAGAGCTAAACGGATGGCGGTCGACAAATGGTAGGGAGCGAAAGCAGAGTGACCGTGGCCTGGAAACATCCAAACTTTCAGCGAGAGTTTTCTGCTAGTTTGAGCAACCAAGAGGTTTGGGTTACGGTAATTTTTGTTTCCAAGACCCCTTCGAAAATTGGCTCTAAACGGAAGTCAGCTATACACCGATTTTCGAATTCAAAGAGAAAAAAGTCCGGCTCAATTACCTTTGAGCTTCCCGGGAGTCATAGGACAAACTTTGACCGCTGAAACATCATCCTGAACAGCTGCTCCCACTTTGCTCAAGACCTCACTAATCATCTCAGCACGTTCCTCCCCCCCCCCCCCCTTGCCATCCGTCATAATTACAACTGACAGCTGTTTAGAAGAAGCCAAAGAGCTTTTCTTCCGATTTTTAGGGAAAATCTAAAAATCTCATAGCTCGATTCCCGTGAAAGATATCAAAATTCTGTCAACTGATAACTTGTTGAGCACATTATCATAAACATTTTATAAGTAACAAATTTTTGATAGCGGTTATAGGAGCCGAGATAATTGAGCTCAAAGTTGGAGCATCGATTTTCGGCGATATTTACTTTGCCTTCAACCTTATTAAATGGGGGAAAATGAAAGAGGAATTCGTTTTATTTGAAAAATCGAAATGTGTGTGTGTGTGTGTGTGTCCTGCAGGCTGGAGGCAAACACATAGGAGTGGGAAACCCGAGAATTCCACCCCAATTTTCTCTTCTTTAGGTTCTCTTTTTTGTTCTCTTTGCTGCTCTGTTCTTCTGGGGAGAGAGAACCACCAGATGGGCAAAAAAAATAATTAGAAGCAGAAGGAGAATGGATGGATGAACTTCCAATTGAACTTTGAGAATCTAGGAATACCGGAATCTCAAAGTCCAGGAATCCATGAATCTTGGAATCTAGGAATCTTGGAATCTTGGAAACCAGGAACTTAGGAATCTAGCAGCAGGAATCTAGGAATCCAGATATCCAAGAAATTGAGGATCCAGAAATCTAAGAATCTGAGAATCCCAGAATTTCAGGATCTCAGGATCTAAGGATCTAAAAATCTAGGAATCCAGATATCCAAGAATTCAATCCTGATATCCAAGATATCCAAGATATCATATCCAAGAATTTGAGGATCCAGGAATCTAAGAATCTAGGAAGTTAAGAACCCAGGAATCCAGGAACCCAAGAATCTAGGAATTCAGGAATCTAAAAATCCGAGAATCTAAGAATGTAAGAATCTAGGAATCTGGGAATCTGGGAATCTAGCAGCAGGAATCTAGGAATCCAGATATCCAAGGATTCGAGGATCCAGAAATCCAGGAGTCTAAAAATATGAGAATCCATGAATCTAGGAATCTAGGAATCCCGATATCCAAAATTTGAGAATCCAGAAATCTAAGAACCTAAAAATCCAGGAATCTAAGAATCCAGGAATCCAGGAATCTGAGGATCTAAGGATCTATGAATTTAGAAATTCAAAAATCCAGGAATCCAGGAGTCTAAGAATCTGAAAATCCATGAATCTAGAAATCCAGGAACCCAGGAATACCGATATCCAAAAATTTGAGGATCCAGGAATCTAAGAATCTAGGAATTTAAGAATCCAGGAACCCAAGAATCTAGGAATTTAGGAATCCAGGAAACCAGGAATCTAAGAATCTAAGAATCTGTGAATCTCAGAACCCAGGAATCTTAGAATCTAAGAGAATCTAGAATCTGAGAGTATTAGAAACCAGGAATCTAAGAATTTAAGAATCCAGGAATCTAGGGATCCGGAAATCTAGGAATCCAGGAACTTCGGAATTCAAAAATCCAAAAAATCTAGAACTTTCTCAGAAAGTTCTGAAGTCTTTCAGATTTTTCTCCCGAATCTTCTGAATCCTCGAAAATCCGCTGAACGCCTTCAATGCTTCTCGAAGGCTCTGGAACCTTTCGGAGCACATCAAAAGCAACTTCCAGAGCTTCTAGAAGGTTCTAGAAAGTTCCGGGTGTCCATTTCTCTACCTCAGTATGTTCTAAAACGACAGAACACCGGAGATAATTTTGAATAAATTTCCAGAGCCTCCAGAATGTTCTAGAAAACATTCTAGTCAATTTAATACGATTTGGAAAACGACAAAAAACCGATTTTTAGACTAAGGATAAGTTTTTAGTCTGAAATTCTGATTTTCAGGTTCTGAATAGCTGATTCTAAGAATCAACTTGACCAAGGATGAAAAAAACCGAAATGACACACATACACACTGCGAAATTTCCAACCATGGACATAATTGGGCAGTAATTCCTCGTGTCTCCAAATTTGGCGCATTTCACAATACACAGACCGCCGGAAGGTCTGATTCACCGTGATCAATCACCAGTAGAAGAAGTTCAATGATCAAAAAGTTCTCCCTATCCGCCAATTCTGTGTTCGTTTCTCACTCTGGCTTCCCATTTTTTTTGTTTATTTTGTATTATACTTTGCTTCTTTTTGACAGCTGGGCATGGTGTGTGTTCTCTCTTGGAGAGTGTGAGTGCCCACGTGGCGTATCAGAGAGGCAAATTGGCATTTGGCATCAAGCCAATTGCAACCGCTTTGAAGCTCTGAAGCTCTGTAGCTGAGTAGCTGCTCCATAAGTTAACGATCTTGAAGTTGTCCTTTAGGAGCTCTTTGACCGGCATTCTTGAAAATTGGCATTGATCCAAGTGCAACCGTGTAGCTTTTAAGCTCAGAAGATAGGTAGCTGCTCTCCTGAGTAGCTCCAACTGATGAGCAGCCGCTCTAAAAGCTAGCCTAGATGATGTAGTTCACTTATAGACGGTTTTTGATCGCTCCAAGTTGAGCTACGAGGTCGAGAAGTCTACTGCCAGGCGTAGCGCTGCTGATTAGCGGCTCGACAGCGAATCAGCGAATTCGGAGGTTCAGAATTTTCTAGATATCAAGATTCCTGGATTCCTTTAATCTTGAAATAAGTGTTTCCAGATTCCAGATTCCTAGATTTTTGAAGTATTGGATTTTAGAATTCCAAAATTTGTAGGTCCCAACAAGTCCAAAATCTGAGATGATCTGACGATTTAAAGATTTCTGGATTCCTGGATGTTGAAAATGATATTTCGAAATTCTGTTATACTTAGATTCCTGGAAATTCAGAAATTCCGAATTTCCTGGATATTTGTGATCTTGGAAGATGAGATTTTCGAATTCGTGGATCCCCAATCCCTAGCCGAGTAGCTTCTCAATAAGTTAACAGCCATGTAAGAAGCTTTTTGACCGGGACTTTTGAAAATTGGCTTTAAGCTAGGTGCAACCGTGTAGCTTTTTTTAAGCTCAGAAGCTAAGTAGCTGCTCTTCTGAGTAGCTCCAACTGATGAGTATCGCCCCCAAGTTGGGCTATCAGGCGCAGCGCTGCTGATTAGCGGCTCAACAGCGGCTCAGCGAATTCTCAGATCCAGCATTTCCAGATTTCTAGATTTTGAAATTTTCAAAATTCGTAGATCCCGAAAAATCCCAAATTGGAAATACTTAAATTTCTGGAATTCCTTGATTTTGGAATTCCAAGATTCGTGGGTCCTGAGAAGTTCGGAATCTGAGATTCTGAATTTTCTGGATCTTCTCTAGGTTCTCTTCCTTCCTTCCACGGTGCCTTTCAATGGCCTAACTTTCTCCAAATTGCATTTTCTAGGCCATTCCATGTTCCGGCTACTCTGACGCGTATCCCCTTATATTCTATTTGTCCGAAAAGAGATAGAACTGTATAGAAAATGACCTTCACCCAGTCTCCCTCCCCATTCGATTCTATCTTATCTCGTTTCGCCTCCATCCACACCGAGAATCTTTCGTTTCATCTCATCTCTTTTTTTCTCCTGGAAAATGTAGTTGTTGGCCATTTTTGTAGTTGTCTTTTTAAGCCAATTTTTGGGACACTAAATTTTGGAAAATTGAAAGTCTGTTTTCTAGGAATTGTAGAGAATGTCCTCAGCTATCCAGACATATAAAAATGGCTCATTTTGGTCCACTACTCATCGAGGTATTTTTTATTGAAAAACTCGATGAATAATAAGCAAAAATCAAAGATTTTCATATGCTTGAGTAGCTGAGAAAATTCTCTACAATTCCTAGAAAACAGATTTTCAATTTTTCAAAAATTAGTGTCCAAAATATGACTCAAGTCTCCCATGGCCTAGAAATCTCCTTCCTCTTCCAGGATGACCACCTCTTACACCCCCAAAAACGTGGCAATCACCGGCGGGTGTGGATTCATCGGGTCCAACTTTGTCAACTACATTCACGATGCCTGGCCCAACTGCAATTTCGTGAATATCGACAAACTGATTTTGAATAGTGACACTCAGAATGTGTCGGAGGCTGTGAGAAGCTCTCCACGCTACAAGCTGGTGCTCACTGATATCAAGAACGAGGCAGCGATTTTGAATGTGTTCGAGGAGAATGAGGTAGGTGTTCTAGGCTTAGAGATGCTTCTAGAGCTTCCTGGAAGCTTTAGAACCTTTTAGAATCTTCTAGAGCCTTCCAGGGTCTTCTAGACCCTTCTAGACCCTTCTAGAACCTTCTAAACTGTTCCAGGTCGATGAAACTAGTTCTATAAGGTTCTAGAATCAATCGGATCTAGGATCTATGCTCGTTAGGCATGTCGGATCTTTGAATTTTTAAGATCTGAGATCTATATGTTCCCGGATCGTTGAGATCTGGGATCCTCTGCTCTGTGGTCTTTGGGATTTGCGGTCCCTAGAACCTACGATCTTCTGAAACCTTCTAGAATCTTTCAGAACCTTCTAGGATCTTCTAGAACTCCCTAGGATATTCTAGACCCTTCAAGGTCCTTCTGGAACCGTATAGACCCTCCCAGAACCTCCTAGAATCTTCTAGAACCTTCTAGAGACTTCTGAAACCTTCTCAATTCTTCCAGATCGATACCGTAATCCATTTCGCCGCCGATTGCACATCGACGCGTTGCTACAACGAGACCGCCGAAGCTGTGCAGAACAACATCCTCTCCTTCATTCAATTCCTCGACACCGTTCGTCACTACGGAAAGATCCAAAGATTCGTTCATATCTCCACCGACGAGGTGTATGGGGATTCTGATCTGTCGGAAAATGAGCAAGGCAAGGTGGAGAGCTCTCGGTTGATGCCTGGAAATCCCTATGCTGCTACGAAGATCGCTGGAGAGGCGTATGTGCGAGCTTATCAGAAGCAGTACAATCTGCCAATTGTCACTGCGCGGATGAATAATATCTATGGACCGAACCAGTGGGATGTCAAGGTGGTGCCAAGATTTATCGAGATTGCAAAGGTCCGTGGGGAATACACCATTCAAGTGAGTGACATGTCTTTTTGCTGCTTCTCAGGGTTCAGGGGTCCGATGTTGTCGTTCTAAAGGAATCTAGGATTCATAAGATCTGGGATTCAGTGATTTATCTTCTAGAACCTTCTAGAACCTAGTGGAACCATCTAGTACTGTCTAGAATCATCTAAAGCCATTTCTAGGATTCATTGAATCTGACGCCCAGTGATCCGCCTTCTAGAATCTTCTAGGACCTTCTAGATACTTACATACCCTTCTAGAACCGTTTATCTAGGATCTAGAATTCTGAGACAGCTCGGATCTTCGAATCTATAAGATCTATAGAATCTAATACCGTCTAGAACTTTCTAGAATCATCTAAAATCTTCTAGACACTTTTAGACTCTTCTAGGACTTCCTGGACCCTTCTAGAATCTTCTGGACATTTCTAGGATCTTCTAGAACATTCTAGATCGTCCCAGAACCTTCTAGAACCATCTAGAACCGAGGATTCACAGGACCTTTGAGTTTAGGGACTTTTCGATGTCTAGAAGGGGGTCCAGATTTTAGCTCCCTTGAGATTCTGGATTTTTTAGGAATCTCTCGAATCTGGGGCTAGGAACCATAGGAATTTAGGTTCTCTAGGAACTGATATCTGTAAGACTTAGGATCCAGTGATCTACTTTTCAGGACCGTCTAGAACCATCTAATATCTTCTAGACTCTTCCATGCCCTTCCAGGACCTTCTAGAACCTATGGTCAATAGGATCTAGGATCAATAGGATCACAGATCTACAGGATTCAGGATCCACAGGATTTAAGATCCAGGATCCTAAGGTATCTCGGAATTTCGAATTCATAGAATCTGTCATCTATATCGAATTAGGATCAATAGGATCTAGGACCTTCGGAATTTATGATCCTCAGGAATCTGGGATCTATATCCCCAACCTCCAAACTTCCAGGGAACCGGCAAACAACTCCGCTCATGGCTGTTCGTCGACGACGCCTCCGCCGGCCTCAAAGCCGTCACGGAAAAAGGAAAGCTCAACGAGATCTACAATCTCGGCACCTACTACGAGAAGAATGTCGCCGATCTCGCGAAAACCATTCAAGAAGAGGTCGACCGTCAACTCGACCGACCACACCAGCCACCGCGCTACAAGTCCATCCCAGACCGTCCGTACAACGATCTTCGCTACCTAATCAGTATTGAAAAGGCTAAGGAGGATCTCGGATGGGAGCCAACCACCTCTTTCGATGAAGGCATGCGGATTACTGTAGCTTCTGCGTTAAAGGAGCATAAACATGTCAAAATGCATGTGGCCATCTATGGAGGAAAGGGGTATGTTGGACAGGAGTTGCAGCATGTGCTGAGAGCCAGAGAGATACCGTATGTCTTGGCAACAAAGAAGGTTGGATTTGATAGTGATGAGGAGGTAGGATTACGGTGGAAGAGGATTTTTCTAGGTCATCATCATTCCAGGTGGAACGAGAACTGGCTCTGTTGGGAGTTACCCATGTGATCTGCGTCACTGGAAGGACCCATGGACCCGGCTGTAACACTATTGAGTACCTGGAGGGAGGACCTGATAAGGTGTTCATCAATGTTAGAGATAATATGTACAGGTAGGTCAGCCTACTGTAGTTTTTGTCCAATAGAGCGCGTTTACAGTGCCACCATTCTGGCGCACATGTGTCGGAAAATCGGACTTCACTACACGTACATTGGCACGGGCTACATGTTTGCGTATGATAAGCAACACTCGATTGGCGGCGCCGAGTTCAAAGAGGAGGGTCGGTTTCCATAAAAAAAATGAAATTGTCAAAAAAAGAGGAAATTTTCCAGATGAGCCAACATTCTTTGGCTCCGCCTACTCGGTCGTCAAAGGTTTCACCGACCGGCAGATGAACTATTTCAATCAGAATGTGAGTAGGAGGAGGAGAGGGGTGGTGATGGCCTAGGAATCCAAATATGAGAATTTTGGACTTATAGAGCCGAAAAAACTGATGGTCCAACTCGTGGCCTAGAATACCAAATCAATGGTCTAGGAAACCAAATTTTAGCTTGCTGACCTAGAAATCCAAATTTCGGCATTTTGGACTTTTAGAGCCGAAGAAAGTGATGGCCTAGGAACCCGAAATTTCATGGCTTAGATCATGATGGCCTAAAAACCCAAATCTGGCATTTCTGGCCTAGAAAATCAAGTCGTGGCCTAGGAATCCAAGTTTAATGCTCTTGAACTTTTGAAATAAGGAGCCTAATTTCGAGGCTCAAACCAGTGGCCGAGGATCATAGGGTAATGGCCTAGAAACCCAAAAATACAAATCGTGGCCTAGGAATCCAAATTTCAGCATTTTGGACTTTTAGAGCCGAAAAAACTGATGGCCATGATGGCCTAGCCATGGCCGAGGAATTCAAGTTTTTCGCACTTTTAGAGCCGAAGATGACCTAGAAATCACAGTGTGACCTAGATAACCAAATCTGAGCTTTCTGGCTTAGAAATACCATCCATGGCCGAGGAATCCGAATTACAGCATTTCGAACTTGTGAAAGAGTGAATTACGGCCTAGAATTCCAAATTTCAGCCTAGTGGCCTAGAAACCCAAAACCATGGCCTAGGAATCCAAATTTGAGCACTTTAGGCTTTTAGAGCTGGAGTAACTGATGGCCTAGAAATCCAAATTGCATGGCCTAGGAATCCGAATCTGAGTTTTTTGGACTTTTGAAAATAGGAATTTATGGCCTAGGAATCCAAGCGTGACCTAGAAAACCAAACCATGGCCTAGGAGACCGAATATTAGCTTTATGGCATAGAAATCGACTTGGTGGCCTAGGAATCCAAATTTGAGCATTGTGGGCTTCCAAAAAAAAAAACCAAAACAAACTGATGGCTTGGAAACTCACTTTCCATAACCTAGAAAATTCCCAAATTCCCATTTTCAGGGCTGGGAGAACCTCAACGTCCGAATCACCCTTCCACTGTCTCTGGACTTGGACCAACCGAGAAACTTGCTCTCGAAAATCATCAAATACAAGGAGCTCTTCGATATTCCAGTTTCCCTGACCATTCTACCGGACTGTATGAATGCAATGTGCAATTTGATGGAGCAAAGAACCGGGGGAACACTGAATTTGGTGAATCCAGAGCCAATTTCCCTCTATGAAGTGGTCAAAATCTACAAGGAAATTGTGGACGAGACCGTGAATCCGACGCCGATTGGTGTGGAGACGGAAAGGGCTCAGCAGCTACTGGCTACTAAAGGAAATTGTGCATTGGACACGGAAAAGCTTCAAAAACTGGCTCCGGTGTTGTCGGCGAAGGACAGCCTTGTCAAACACTTCAACGAGATGAAGGCGAATTAATTTATATTTTTTTCACACATTTCTTAAGATTTCTTAAACAATTTTTAAAGTATTTCAATAATTTCAATTTAATTATAAAAAAAATTTAATCGGGAAAAAATGACGACATTCAATATAAAAAATAGCGAAAAACAAGGTTTTTTCCGGAAAATATCACCCCAAAAGTGTTTGTTTTGCGCACAAATCACGAGATTCTCCAAAAAAAAAGCAAAAAAATCGGCAAAAAAAAACGAGTTCAGTGTGGATTTACGGGGGAGGGACTAGAATCCCAAACGTCGTGTAGTCCTCTCGGAAACGGGTCTCGAAGGGAAGAGACGTTTTGGTGTTGATTTACGAGCGGAGGGAGATGATTTCATGTTTTTTCGAAGTTTTAAAATGGTTTTTTTGGGGTTTCTGAACGAATTTTCGATAGGAAGTGTTAACAAACGGTTAAAAAAGCAATTAAACACAAAAATATTGAAAAGGATTTAATGAAATTTGGTTTAAAATGATGGAAAATAATGAAAAATACAATTCTTTGGAAATCTTCAATTTTTTGAGTTTGTCTCTGTAAGAAATGCGAATTACCGCAAAAATACGGTTTTCAGCACATGCTGAATATGTTTTTTTTTCAAAAAAAAATCCGATTTTTTTCATTTTAACACAAAAAAATTGAAAATTCACCTTTTTTCTGAATTTCGTCTTTATTCCTTTTTTGTCAGAAAATTAAAAAAAACTTTTCCAGAAAATGCTGCGAACAGTACAGCTGGCTTGCTCGTCGGCAAGCCTATGTAAAAACACAAAATCACTCTGGTCCATCACCTCGGCAGCACGATTTTCAGACAAGAAGAAGGGGTAATTTTCGAATTTTGTGCTTAAAAATTGATTTTTCGATTTAATTTGTCGGAAAATGGCTTTAAAATGCTAAAAATGTTTTATTTTCATCAAATTTTCTTCCAGCGACGACCTGGAGACTGATCTTCAAAAAGACCTGAAAAAGCTCAATGAAATCCTAAAAACCGGAATAAAAGAGACCGAATCGATCACCGAAAAGCTAAACGAAGTTCCAAAAGGTCAAGAATCCGTCGACAAGAATTTCATGAATTTCCGAAAGCAAGCGGAGCAAGAAGCCTTCAAAAGAAGCAGCATCTTCAACTGGAAGACCGTCTTAGCAACGTTCGCAATCGGTGGAAGCTGTCTGGCAGCACTATTTTATATCAAAAAGATTCGAATGGATGAGAGAGAAAAGCATCGGAAGCAGACAGCCGGAAAAGCGAGGATTGGTGGAGAGTGGGAGCTGGTGAACACCGATGGAAAGTTGGAAGGATCCGAGCAACTACGTGGAAATTGGCTTTTGATGTATTTCGGATTCACGAATTGTCCCGATATTTGTCCGGATGAAATTGAGAAAATGGTCAAAGTGGTGGAGATCATTGAATCCAAAAAAGACGCGACACCTATCGTACCAGTGTTCATTTCCGTTGATCCGGAGAGAGATTCTGTTGCTAGAGTGAAGGAGTATTGCTCAGAGTTCTCTGAAAAGCTACGTGGATTCACTGGATCCACTGAGCAAGTGAATAAAGTGGCGAAGACGTTCCGGGTCTATCATAGTCAAGGACCAAGGACCAATAAGCAAGAGGATGACTATATTGTGGATCATACTGTGATTATGTACTTGATTGGTGAGTTTTTGAATAGGGAAAATTTTGAAAATTTTTTTTCAAAATTGCGCAATTTTTGAAATACCGAAAAATTGGAAAATTTCGAAAATACAGTTTTTTTTTTAATTTTAAAATTTGAAATGGCTCCCTCCAGGACGTTTCAGAACTCGACGAAAATTTTCAGAACCCGACGAAAAGTTTTGAAACGTCGTGGTTCTGAAACGTCAGATTCTGAAACGTCTTGGTTCCGAAACGTCGTGGTTTTGAATCGTCGCAGCTATAAAACGTCGCGATTCTAAAACGCCGTGGTTCTGAAATCTCGGGTTCTGAAACGTCGAGCTCTGAAACGTCGGGTTTCGAAATGTCGGGTTCTGAAACGTCGGGTTCTGAAAAGTCGTGGAAACGTCGGATTCTTAAACGTCGGATTCTTAAACGTCGTGGTTCTGAAACTTCGGATTCTGAAACGTTGTGGTTCTGAAAACGTCGGGTTCTGAAACGTCGGGTTCCGAAACGTTGGGTTCCGAATCGACGTGGTTCCGAATCGTCGTGATTCTGAAAAGTCGGGTTCTGAAACGTCGTGGTTCTGAAACGTCATGTTCGGAAAACGTCGGATTCTGAAAACATCGGGTTCTGAAACGTCGGGTTCTGAAACGTCGGGTTCTGAAACGTCGTGGTTCCGAAACGTCTTGGTTCTGAAACGTCGGGCTCTGAAACGTCGCGATTCTGAACGACACAGTTCTAAAACGTCACAGTTCTGAGATGTCGCGATTCTAAAATACTATTTGAATGAAAATTGGCTAAAAGTTTTGGAAAATACTTGCATTTTTGAAGGCAAATAATCTTAAAATTCAAGAAATGCGCCTGAAAATTTTCCGATTTTTCAAATAAAAAACGGCTAAAATAAGGCAAAAATAGCTAGAAAAAATTCTGGAACTTCGACGAAAAATCACTAATTTCTACTAAAGAAATCGTGTTTTTTTTTAAAGATTTTTCGCAAATTTCAGCTTAAAAAGCAGCTTCCGATACTTTTCTCCCCATAAACTCTCGATTTTTCAGATCCCGATGGTCAATTCCACGACTACTACGGTCAGAATCGAAAAGCCGAAGAGATCGCCAATGTGATCGAGATGAAAGTGCTCAAATATCAGGCTCAGAATCGAAAATCTCTATTGAACCTGTTCTAGACAAGATGAATTGCTGATTTTACGTGTATTTTAGATCATTTTTTGAGTAGAAAATTAGTTTTCCCGTTGTTTTTTATTAATTGTTAAAGGTGTTTTTTGGTAATTTAGGACATTTTTGAAGAATTTTTTTTTTAATTTTTTGAGGTTTTTTGAATTTCTTGCGTTTTTCAGGCGCTCATATATCTATTTTCATTGATTTTTTACCGACTTTTAAAAGATTTTCCAATATTTTTTTAATTCTTAAAGCATTTTTCCTGTAATTTTTACCGCCGATTTTAGTGATTTTTAGTTGATTTGAACTTTTCTATCGAATTCTGCCTAATTTCAGTCGTTTTCCAACAATTTTCCGCAAAATTTTTAATTCTGAAAATTGACATTCTCCATTTTTTCGATTTTTTAACTTTTTGAAAAATTGACTTCAGGCGATTTTAGTCAGTTTTTGTTGGTGTACGGTGAAATTTTTTATTGCATCAAAATGTGCAGAAATGCATGTAGATTAACATAAAAATGAAGAAAAAAATTCAAAAAAAATTCCCTCATCGGGAAAAACGCATCGAAAAATAGGCTGAAAGCCCTTAGGGACGAGCTTTTTCACTTGTTTTTTCTAGGCCATCCGGTGAATAAAAGCGCGCGAATTCAAACTTTCAGAAAAAATTTCTTCCGTTTTCACTGTTTTTTTTTCAGGTTTTCCGATGTATCTAGAAAAATCAACAAAAACCTTGAAATTTTTTTTTTGAATTTTTTCTTTATTTTTATGTCAATCTACATGCTTTTCTGCACATTTTGATGCAATACAAATTTTCACCGTACACCACCTTTAAAAGTTTCATTTTATCGATTTTTTAACTTTTTGAAAAACTGATTTCAGGCGATTTTTAGTCAGTTTTTCTTCATTTTATCTCCAATTTTTCGAATTTTTCCCCAAATTTCCAGATGACGTCAAAACCAGAAGACGTCAAAAGCGAAATCAACGTTCGTGTGGCGAAACGAAACGACGCGGTACGGTACTCGGTGATGAGTTTCAACGGAATGGACAAGGTCGACACATCGAAATGGACGATGGAGAGCGGGGTGACGATGGAGCGAGAGGATAATCAGAGAGTCGTCATGGCGACACAGTCGGTTCAGGTAAGGAAATTTATGGAAAATGAGTGAAAAGTCGAGAAAATCGGGGAATTTTGACATAGGAATTGTGTGATTTTTTCAAAAATTTTTTTTCGAAAAATATGAAAAATTGGGATTTTTTCGCTGAAAAAGACGTGTAAGTCTCTATTTTTGACCCCAAATTCACTACTTTTAGACTCAAAAATCACTATTTTAGACCCCTAATACCCTAATTTTGACCTGAATCGCCTTATTTTGACCTCAAAAATCATATTTTTACATTAAGTTCACTATTTTTGAATCTAATTTTGAAAATTGAAAATTGAAAAAAAAGGTCACGGCCTAAAATAATCTAGGTCATGACCCGGAAAAATCTAGGTCATGACCCAGAAAATCTAGGTCATGGCCTTAAAATCTAGAAAAATCTAGGTCATGGCCTGAAAATCTAGAAAAATCTAGGTCATGACCTAGAAAAGTAGGTCATGGCCTAAAAAAATCTAGGTCATGACCTAGAAAAAATCTGGGTCATGACCCGCAAAAAACTAGGTCAAAATCTAGGTCGCGACCCAGAAAATATAGGTCATGACCTAGAAAAAGTAGGTCATGGGCTAAAAAAATATAGTTCACGACCCAGAAAATATAGGCCACGAATTTCTGTTTTTCCAGGAATACGGAGAAGGCTCGGAGTACGGTAAAGCGGCACGCGAAGAGGCACGCCGCAAGAAGTTCGGTCGCCAATCGAAAAGCTACAAATTGGACAATCAACCATGGAAACTGTCATTCAAAGAGCCCGAAGGCCGTCAACGACAAATGCGCGGAATCCGAGAGGGCGGAGCCAACGAGCACGCCGACTATTGGGTCTTCATGAAGCCGCCGGGCAATTTCAGCGAATTCAAGGCGTATAAAGTCGATGAATGGCATAAATTCTTGCCGGCAATCACTCATAAAACGCTGGATATCGATCAGGCTGAGGAGCAGTTCTCGCAGAGGAATAAGGTTATGAACCAGTTCGCACTGAAAGCGGCTATACAGAATCAGCTGAATGCGGCGGATGAGGTGGAGATGTCCGAGCAACAGAAGAGACTGCTGAAGATTAAGGTAAGAGGGTTTTGATTGTCGAAAAATGGCAAATTTTTGACCCGAAATTCAAGAAAATTGACTCAAAAAACATGAAAATTGACCCGAAAATCAGAAAATTGACATAAAAGTCGGAAAAATTGACTCCAAAAATCAGAAAAATTGAGCCATAAGTCAGAAAATTTGTGCCAAAAATCTGAAAAATTGAGCTAAAAATCTAAAAAATAGAGCCAAAAACACAGGAAATTGACTCAAAAATTATGAAAATTTAGCCTAAAATCAGAAAAAGTGGGCCAAAAATCGGAAAAATGGGCCCAAAAACCAAGAAAATCGAACCAAAAACCAAGAAATTTGAGCCAAAAATCATTAAAATTGACCCATGAATCTGAAAACTTGACCCAAAATTCGTGAAAATTGACCCAAAAATCAGAAAAATTGATCCAAAAATCAGGAAACAGTGAACTAAAAATCAAAAAATTGAACCAAAACTAAAAAAAGAGTTCAAAATTCAAAAAAATTGAGTCAAAAATCCGAAAAATTGAGCCTAAAATCATGAAAATTGGGCTCCGCGACGTTTCGAAAGACGACGTTTCGAAAGACGACGTTTCGAAAGTGTGACGCTTCGCAAGTGTGACGTTTCGCAAGTACGGCAATTAATGCTTTGAAAGCGTCAAATATACAAAACTCTATTCGAAAAACCATTTAAATACTCAAATACAAGTTTTTGCTGTTTCTTTCATGCATAAAAGTGCAAAGCTGTTACTTTCGAAACGTCACACTTTCGAAACGTCGCGGAGCCGAAAATTGAGCCAAAACTGAAAAAAAAGACTCCGAAATTCAAAAAAATTGAGCCAAAAATAGCTGAAATCGGTCAATTTACGAAGTGGGCGGAGCCAAGAATTAAAAGCTCCGCCCACATTTTTGAGGGAGTTATAAGCAAAATTCTGAAAGAAATAGGCTCCGCCCACTTTTTCAACTTTTAGTTTGGAATATTCGGCTTGAAATGACCTGAAAACAAAAGGAAGGGATTCATATTATCTGAAATTTTGGATGAAAAATTTGAAAATTCGCGAAAATTGACCCAAAAATCAGAAAAATTGACCCAAAAATCTAAAAAATTGATCTAGAAATCATGAAAATTGAGCCAAAAACTATGAAAATTTGACCCTGAAAATCAAGAAAAATTGAGCAAAAAATTTTTCTAAATTCCTGAAAATTGAAAATTCCGGAATTCTCAAAATTGTTCAAAAAACTGACTTTATCGCTGAAAATTGACGGATTTGAGCTCAAAAATCCTCCAAAATAAGGCTAAAAATGTCCCGAAACCGCCTAAATTACCAATATTTTCAGGACGAAGGAAGCTCGGACGATTCAGATGACGGTGACGATGAAGGAGAAGGTGGTGGTGAGGATGGAAAGAAGAATAACGGAAAGAATAAGAAGAAGAAGAAGAAGAATGTGAAGCCGGCGAAGGAGAAGCGACAGAGAGTCGAGAATAGTGACGATGTGGCTAGTGCGTTTTTTTTGGGTTTTGAAAAATTACAAAAAATGGCTGAAATTGGCTGCAAATGACAGGAAAATGGCTTAAAAATGGCTTAAAAATTGCCGGAAAATGGCTGAAAATGACCGAAAAATGGTTTAAAAATGCCTGAAAATGCCGAAAAATGGTTTAAAAATTCCTGAAAATGCCGAAAAATGGCTTGAAATTGCTGAAAATGCCGAAAAATGACATTCTGGGCCTCCAAATCCCTAAAAATCGATATTTTTGAACCTAAAAAATCTTTAAAATAAAGGAATTTTCAGATTTTTTGGCTTTTTTCACCCATTTTCACCTTTATTTTTGCAGAATACGAGTCATCTGACGGCGAGGATGAGGGACGCGAGTACGACTACATTTCGGACAGTGGAACCGATTCTGAGTGAGTTTTTGGGCTGAAATAACTGAAATTTGGGTTTTTTGACCCACGAACTCCTTAAAAAGAGCTGAAATTCAAGCTTAAAATGTCGTTTTTTAGAGTTTTGAAAACCATAAAACCATCAATCTCAAGGGTTTGTGGCTGAAATAGCTAAAATTCTTGATTTTTGACCTACGAAACCCCCTAAAAAGCTGAAATTCGACTGAAATTCGAGCTTAAAATGTCGTTTTTTGGAATTTTGGAACCCCTAATACCATCGATCCCATGAGTTTTTTGGCTGAAATAGCTGAAATTCAGAACCTTTGACTCTCAAATTACCTCAAAAAGCTGAAATTTGACTGAAATTCGGCTGAATTTGAGCTATAAGTGTAATTTTTGGGACTTTTGGAACCCCTAAAACCTTCAATCAAGGGTTTGTGGCTGAAATAGCTGAAATTCTGGATTTGTGATCTAAGAAATCCCCAAAAAACGGAAGTTTGGCTGAAATTCGAGCTATAAGTGTCATTTTTTGGGCTTTTGGAACCCCTAAAATCACATCTATCCTAATTTTGTAGACTTTTGGAGAGAATAGCTGAAATTTCGGATTTTCGACTCAAAATACATCAAAAAGTTCGGCTGAAATTCGACTTTAAAATGTCATGAATTGGACTTTTGGAACTCCTAAAACCGTCGATCTCAATACTTTTAGCTGAAATAGCTGAAATTCTGGATCTTGACTCTCAAAATACCCCAAAAAACTGAAAATTGGCTGAAATTCGACCTTAAAATGACATTTTTTTGAACTTTTGGAACCCATAAAACCATCTATCCCCAGAGTTTTTTGGCTGAAATAGCTGAAATTTGGGATTTTTGACCTGCGGAACCCCCCTACAAAACTGAAATTCGGTTGAAATTTGACCGATCAGAACCTCAAAAATCCCATTTTCGATCCCAACCCCCTCAAATTTTCAGCCGCGAACAAGTCCCATCCGACGAGAAAATCGAGAAGCAACTCGTCGGCGTCGCCGAGGAGGAGGGCGCTCGTAAGCTGTTCGACACGGATTCCAGCGAGTCGGACGACGACTTGGCCAAAAAATTGCTGAACAAAGACGACAAACGAAAAGGAGGGAACGATGTCGAGGAGCGCGACTCGTCGGGATCGGATTCCGACGATCCGGACACCGAGAAAATTGAATCTGTGGTGTTTTTGAAGGCGAACAAGGATGCGGAGGGAAGCTCGTCGGGAGGAGGCAAGAAACGACCGTTGACAGAGGATTCAGATGTGAAAGTGGACGGGGGAAGTGATGCCAAAAAGCCGAAAACTGCTGCGAAATTCGAGGAGGGGCTTAACGAGGAGACTGTGAGAAGATATCTTCGTCGCAAACCACATACCACCAAGGTAGGTTGTGGCCTAGCTGTTTCTAGGCCGCGCTGGCTGGGAATGGAAGAATCCATGTTGGTGGCCTAGAAACTCCTAAAAACTGGGCCACCACGTAATAGGAACCGATTTTTCGTAGTTCAAATTGCGTTCTATGATGACCTAGCTTTTTCTAGGCCACATTGACTGGGTTAGCCCCTTAAAATTAGCAAAAACTAGGCCACGGGATAGTGACTGTTTATAATAAGTTAAATTGCGTCTGTATGGCCTAGAGTTTTCTAGGTCACGTTGGCTGGGATGGTGGCCTAGGAACTCAGTAAACTAGGCCACCAATTGTAATAGGGATTAATTCGGCAATTACAATTTCGTCGTTTTTCAACCGCATTCTTTACCAGCCTGTTGTGATGGCCTAGCTTTTTCTATGCCACATTGACTGGGTTTGTGGCCTAGAAGCTCGTAAAACTAGGCCAACAATATAGGGTCTAAGCTTAAATTGCGTCTGTTGTGATGACCTAGCTTTTTCTAGGCCACGTTGGCTATTGAATACAAATCAAGGATAGGGTGGCCTAGAAACTCACTAGAAAAAACTAGGCCACCAATATCGGGACTAGCTTTTGTAATTTAATTTTAGTTTCCTAAGACCTCTGTATTGATGGCCTAGCTTTTTCCTAGGCCACGTTGGCTGGGATGGTGGCCTAGGAACTCAGTAAACTAGGCCACCAATTGTAATAGGGATTAATTTTGGAATTAACATTACGTCGTTTTTTGACCACATTCTTTACCAGCCTGTTGTGATGACCTAGCTTTTTCTAGGCCACGTTGGCTATTGTATACAAATCAAGCATAGGTGGTCTAGAAGCCCGGAAAAACTAGGCTGCGTAATACGAATTTTTTTGTTTTTAAAATTTAGATTATGATGGCCTAGATTTTCCTAGGTCACTGGGGAATACGGATTCCAGGATAATGGCCTAGAAGCTCAGAAAACTAGGTCGCCAATATTGGGGTCTTTTTTTTGTAATTCCAATTTTGATGGCCTAGCTTTTTCTAGGCCAAGTTGGCTGGAAAGAGAGTTGATGGCCTAGAGGCTCAGAAAACTAGGCTACCATTATAGAGACTAACTTTTCTAATTCAAAAAGCGTCGTTTTTTGACCTCATTCTCCCTCAGCCTGTTTCGATGGCCTAGCTTTTTCTAGGCCATATTGACTGGGTTGGTGGCCTAGAAACTCGGAAAAACTAGGCCACTACGTAATATGGCTTTAATTCTGTAATTAAATTGTGATGGCTTAGATTTTTCTAGGCCACGTCTGTTGAAAATGGAATAATCCATGTTAGTTTCCTAGAAACCCGGAAAACTAGGCCACCAATATAGGGTGACTAACTTCTTTTGTAATTTAAATTGTGATGGCCTTGCTTTTTCTAGGCCGCGGGAATGGAAATTTCGAAATTGAGTGATATTATCGCGAAAAAAAAACGAAAAACTACAGTAACCTCGAAATTTTCAAAATTGAATTTTCCAGGAACTGCTCCACAAGATGAACGGAAAATGCGGTGAAATGAGCAAATCGGAGATGGTGATGAAGTTGGCGACGATCCTCAAAGCCATCGAACCCCATCAAACACGGCAGCTGAAGGGCAAGAAGGAGGTGCTGTTCTTCTCGTTGGCCAACACTGTCGCTTGATGATATTCTCTTTTTTTTTTGGTTTCTCTGAAACTGTCTGGAATTTTTTTCGTTTGGATTCCAAATATTTGGAATTCTAAACTTCGAATTTTATTTTATTTATTTATTCATCCCCTCGAAACCCCGTTTTTCTTCTTTTCCCTTGTAAATGAATGCAATTAAATTTGGAACTTTTAGAATTTTTGAAATTTTAGAAAATTTGAGTCTCACAGATTCCCAGAATCTGGAAAATTTGAGAAACAGTTTTTTTTTGATTTGGAAATGTTATTTTCAGAAAAACCACTCTATTAGGGCTTTGAGGAAAACAGAAAGAGGTCACTCTATGATGTCGCCGCATGAAAAAGGAAAAAAATACGAAAACGCACAGATGGGAATCGAACCCGCGATGCACGACTGATAGCCAGGCGCGCTCACCTCTACAAATCGAAAACAAAAAACCAAAAAGTCTGAAAAAAATTTCAGCCAAAAAAGTGCGATTTTCACTGATTTTCGCCAATTTCAGTACTTTTTTGGCTGACTTTTTTTTTTCAAATTTTTTTTGTTTCAAATTATAGGCTTAGACAAAAACGCCTTATTTCCCTTCCACTGTCACATCCGAAAAATTGCGCCAAATTCAAAAAATTTGGGTGCCCCTCGCCCCCAGCTACCTTAGCGCCAACTACTCTGATAGAACGCCACCCGAATCATCAAATTTGAGCCCATGTATCTCATTTTCTGTGAAAGATATCAAAAAGTGGTCAACTAATAAAATATTGCTGATATTATGATAAACATTTTATTAGTTGACAACTTTTTGATATCTTTCATAAGAAACGAGATATATAAGTTCAAAGTGGACGGTTCGGGTGGCGTTCTATTACAGTGTTTACTGTATACAAAATGTCCCGTAGTTCTGTTCAAAAATCAGAATTCTAGTGCTTCGAGGAGCTGAGATACAGCTTTTTGAAGTTTTGGAGGCTAGAGACACCAGACGACGAGAAACACTGCGTCTCTAGCCTCCAAAATTTCAGATGGTGGTATCTCGGCTCCTAGATGAGCTAGAGAGATGAAAATTAGATAGAAATGTGTCAATTTCAAGGGTGAATATCACCACGTCTTTTTAATTGAAGAAATTCCAAATTCGAAAATAGGTGAAATTAAAAATGAGTTCTTTCTTTATTGATCTAAAAACCAGCAATGCGTTTTCCATTTTGGACCAAAAATCAGCTTTCTAGCTTATCTAGGAGCCGAGATACGATCACTGAAAGTTTCCAAGGTCAGAGACGCGTACCGTATACACTCTAATAGAACGTCACCCGAATCAAAACAATTTGAGCCCACGTATCTCATTTTTTGTGAGATATCAAAAAGTGGTCAACTAATAAAATGTTGCTGATATCATGATAAACATTTTACTAGTTAACCACTTTTTGATATCTTTCAAAAGAAGTGAGATATATAGGCTCAAAGTGGACGGTCCGGGTGGTGTTCCATTAGAGTGATTACGGTATAGGTATTTTAAAAATTCTGAAATTTTCTATGTTCCAGTGACCCTAAACGACTACTCTGTACTGGACGACATCCCACATCGACCAATTATTTTTCACACTGAAACATTCGAAATGTGCGCAAATACAATGGCTTGCTACGCGGAGAAAGGTGGCCACTACACACGAAAGTTGGCGAGAATTCTGCGAAATGCTGCTCATCATTTTGGGACGGATCCAGCAAATAGAACGAATGAATCTCTTATGAGATTTGCATCAGGCCTGTGCGGCAACAAATTGCCGAAATTGCCGAATTTTTGTTGACGATTTGCCGTTGCCGAAATCGGCAAAAAAATTTCGGCAATATTTTTTGAATTTAGAGATTTTCACAATTTTTTTTAGTCAAAAAAATGATTTCGAAGTTCGAAAAATCAAATTTTGAACACTATCATCCCTCAGAGTGAATTTTAGAGGAAATGTGTCCCAATAATCATCAAAAATACTTGCATCGGATCTAAAAATGGGCTTTAAATTTGTGAACATAGGAGAAAAATAGATATCATGAGTCACAACTCATCAAAAAAATTATCCAGTCTGTCTCAAATCTCTAGGGAACGTGTGTCGTGAGTTGCCTAACAAGTTGAGCGCACTATTTTCAAAACTCACAATCGGAACAAATATTTTCAACCATTGGAATACCCTCTATTGCTAAAGAGAAATAGTTTGCACAAAAAATGTGACCTTGAGTTGCCAATTTTTGTAATTACTTTTTTAAAGGTGGGGGGACAGGAGATTTTACGGGGGATTTTTGGGGCCATGTCCTTAATCAGACCCCTAGGGCCAGAAATCGTCACTGAAGCATTAGAATTGATTTCACAAAAAATCCAAGAATTTGAGAATGAAGATGATGGGGTAGGATAGTTTTTTGGAAAGGTCTATCAATGTAATGTCTGAAATTTCAGGTTCCATCAAATCTCATCTCCGAAAGCTTGACCAGTTTGATGATAGCCACTGGATTTTACAAGCAACTGGAATAATGCGTTCCCCGTTATCTTTGTTATTTTGTTTGGAAATTTTTGTTTCAAAGTTTCTTTTTTTTTTTGTTGTTGTTATCTGGAAGTTTTCCAGATTTTTCATTGTTTTGTCCGTTCTCTTAAACAAATTTCATTTTGGATTTCTTCTAAAAAAATAAAAACACTCTTTAAGAATTAGGCTTTAAAGGTGGGGGGACAGGAGATTTTTCGTAGTTTTTTTGTAGCTAGAGTATGCATTCTACCGTGACGGTGTACAACGCTTAATGTCACTCTGCGTACAGCTGTCGTCCTCGCCTTTATGTATGCAATCGGGTGACCGCTTTCTCTTTGCCCGTGTAGCTCAGTCGGTAGCGGCGCCGCACCCTCAATCCTCGTCCCACACGTTCAACTCCTCGAGAGGCATATTTAAACGAAATTTCGAGAAAATTATTTTTTTCATGTCCCCCCACCTTTAAGGAACTTATGAAACACATTTTCTGTAGTTCTGAGCCTGATAGAAGCATTTTCATGTGAGTTACGTATCGATTTTAATTAAAAAAAAGACACAAAACTTTTGTTGCCGAAAGTTGCCGAAATTGCCGAATTTTTGTTTCGGCAAATTGCCGAGTTGCCGAATTGCCGAAAAAATTTTGTTGCTGCACAGGCCTGATTTGCATTCATTTACAAAATTCGGAAACTCTTTTGCTGAAAATCAAACTCTCAAACTCCAAAATTTCCGAATTTTTCATAGTTTCAATTTCTCATAGTTATTAAATAAGTCCCGCCCCCTTACCCTTAAACTGTGATTTTTCAATTTTTATTCAATTGTCGCTTACCCATTCCATTTCCACTTTTGTAATTACGCCATAAAAGGTGAGCCGTACCTCTCGGTACCTGTCTAGACTTCCCCCTTCTCTCCGCTCTCTTATCCTTGTATAGTTTCTCTTATTTTTCTTCTTCTTCTTTCTCATTTCTTTTCCTCACTTTCTTATTGTAACACATGACTTACATCACACTTTTACCGAATATTATAATAACATTTTTCTCGCTTTTATCATTTCAATGAAAGTTTAATTTTTCATGATCTCCACATCAGGGATGTTTGGAATGACCTTGTTGGATTTTTTCGGAATGTCGAATATTCCGATTTCAAAATTTTCGGAATTTAAGAAGTTTTTTTTAAATACTCATGTTTTGAAGTAGAAATTACATTTTACCATCACAAAAACGACGAATAGGTGAAAAATTGGCAAAAAGAGTTCGAAAACGCGAAAAATGGGAAGCACACCTCTAATAGAAGCCCATGAGTTTCTATTTTTACTATTAACAATCACCAAATTCTGTCTGTGTGTCCGTTTGTTCCCGGTTCCACGACCCTAGCGAAGTCCCCAGTAGTCCAAAATTCTCAAATTTTCACAGATTATCAGAAATAGCAGCGAGATGTTGCCCGTCTATTTTTCATTTTGAAATTTTGTTTCTGACGTCATCTGGAGACGTTACTCCATTCCTTCAGTGCAACTCTTTAGAAAATTATTTTCACGTCACTTCCGTCCAACCTCTCTATTTCCTTTTCTTATCCACACTATATCTGATAAAAAAGTGATTTTGTGAAAATAATTATTTAGTCTTAATTTTGAAAGAAGAGAGAAAGGAAAAGTTCAGTAACCTTTAAAATTCTGACTTTCTGAATCCTCTAATTTATCAAAAATCTGAATTTCGGAGATTCTGATTCACGAAATTTTATTATTTTTTTCGAAAATGCGAAATTTCTAACCATTCCTATGCTTCAAACATTTTGGTTTTACTCTGAAATTCTAAAATTCTAATTCAGAAATTCGGAAAATTGGGAAAACGGGAACTCGAAAATACCGAGATTTGAAACTTCGGAAATTTTGAAGTTTGAAAATCAGATATTCAGAATATTACGAAATTAAAAAATTTGAAAGTTAGAACACTCGAAATTTTGAAAATCCAAAATCTCGAAAGCCAAAAACCAGAAAAACCAGAAACTCAGAAGTTCAGAAACTCAGAAGTTCAGAATATCAGAAAGCCCAAGTTCGGAATTCAGAAAATTATGAAATTCATAAACTTTGTGAATCAAAAACTCAGAAATGTGTTTTAGAGAAAATTCTGAAAATCTGATTCGTGTTAAAATTTTGGGAATTTGTGAAGTAGAATCTCAGAAAGTCGGAAACACGGAAACTCGAAAATACGAAATTTCACAAATTATGAGTTCTGAAATGAAGTATTTCAATAAAAAAATCTGTGAGTTCGAGAATCGCAGTTCCGAAAATTCATGACTCCTGAATTTCGAAACTTTTGAAAAAATTATAAGTTGTCAAATTTCAAGATATTCGGGAATTCAGACAAATTATTAGTTCTAAAAATTTGGAAATTTTGAACAGTTCGTGTATCAACTAAGACACATTTCTGATCTACATTTCCGATTTATCTGTCCAAGCCCAAACTCAATCGGTTAAGGGTGTTGTAAGCGGGAGCCAGAAGGTTTAGCCCCCGAAGGCGCATAAGCAGACTGTCACTCCAGTTTATGAAAGTTGACAACACAATCAACTAAAACTTCCTCTTCTGATTTTCTCCGATTTGGAGATTCAAACGTTTTTAGTGAAGCCAGGAGATTGTAGCCGCCGACAGGCGGTGGAAATCGACTGGTTAGAGAAAATATGCTAATTCGCAATTCCAGTATTTTTGGAACTGTGATTTTAGAACTCGAAAATTTCTTAATTTCTAAATTTTAGAATTTTGAAATATTTTTTTTTCCGGCGGTTCAGAATTCCTGAATGGTCGAATTTTGAGATCCTGGAATCTCAGAATTTCATAAATTCGGAATTTCGGAATTTAGAACTGCAGAATGAAAAATTCAAATTTTCCGAAACACTGAATTTCTGAAATCTTAACTTCCAAATTGTCAAATTTCTGAATTTTTGAAATAAAATTTTTTTGAAAATGAAACGTTGAAAAATAGAAGCACGCCCTCTTTTTGAAACCCACCACTAATAGAAGCCCATGGGCGGTAATTCTGCCTGCAATCAGTTTTTTCGCGATACACCGTAGTCCGAAAATCTCGAATTCCGAAAAAAATGCTCCGGAAAAATTCCGATCGGAATTTTATGCCAAAAAATGTTTCGGAAATGTTCGGACCGGAAAATCAAATTTGGAGAAATTCCGAAACTTCCGAAATTCCGAAAATTTTAAAATCGGAATATTCCGAATTTCCGATATTTTGAGAATCCAAATTTCCGATATTCCGAAAAGTTCCAAAAAGGCCATTCCCAGCATCCCTGGTTTTGAACAAGAGTAATATTTGCTTTCAAAGTTTCTGAGCAAGTGATGCCTGCCGCCCCGATCGATGTATCGTATGCAATCAGATACATTTCTGATAGAATTGCCAATTATGATAAGCCAGAGTGCCTGGGTAACTGGTGCCAGGAGGTCGTGAAGAAATCTAAATCTCGCAGTTCGCGGAATAAGACTATTCTAAGAGATGGGTGAGTGGAGTCTGTATACTTTGATATTAAAAAAACTCATTTTTCAATTTTCAGAATCTTCAGAAGACTCAAAAGAATTGAAAAACTGGAAGGATATTCGTTGATGGAGAAATTACAGTTGGCTTTCATTTTCAGTCGTTCTGTCAGTGATGAATTGGTTCAAATGTAAGTTAGTTGTGAGTATTGTGTTTCTTTTTTCGAAAAAAAATTCTCGAAAAATTACTTTTTGATATGGTGGCCTAACTTTTGCAAATTGAGTTTTCTAGGCCACCACCTTTTTTCGGCCTAGAAATGGCCTAAAATGACCTTGGTGTGTTTTCTAGGTCATTTTGAAATGGTGGCCTAACTTTTGCATGTTGAGTTTTCTAGGCCATCTTTTTCCCGCCTAAAATGGCCTAAAATAACCCTGGTGTGTTTTTCAGGCCATTTTAAACCGGCGACCTATTTTTTGCAAGCTGAGTTTTCTAGGCCACCACCTTTTTTCGGCCTAGAAATGGCTTAAAATGACCCTGATGTGTTTTCTAGGTCATTTTGACATGGTGGCC